CTATCATGTCTATACCTCCTTAGTGTGATGGTGTGCTAACATGATCTAATCAGCATTACACATGAAATACATGACGATAAAGCACAAAGTTTTACCTGATGACGGCTTAAAGAGGTAAAGTAAAGAAAATCATTTCTAATGTTTCTATTAAATTGCCAGGGAAGCCATTAATTTTAGTAGGTGTTGAGTCATTTTAGTTAAATCCACAAATGTTCAGGTCAGTGGGAGAAGGTGAAGACCACTAAAGTCATTAGAAGATATTCCAAAAGGAAAGGAAAATTCTTTGGAAATCTTGTGATCCTCCAGTTGTGCACATGTTTTAATTAGGATTAACTAACTGCATTAATCCCCAAAGCCACGATCTACTATGATAAAAACATGATGTAACTCCAACATCTATATAATCAGTCTAACTTATTTAAAAGAAAATAGAAGTGAATAAATATTCAGCTCATGGAGAGAACAAAGACCCCAGTTCTTTTTTATACACTGTTTTATACACAGCATTTGGTTTTCATGACATATTTAACCCTGGCCTTTGCGCAGCTACTCTTAGTGAAAGAATTTTCTAGTATAAAACATCTAGCTGAGCTGAGATGCAGCGATAAAAATAAAAAAAATGAAACAACATAAAAGTTTTTGCTGAATGGTGGTCTTTGTTCCTCTAAGTTTTCTATGACTGAATGATATCTCCCCTAACCTCCTATGACCCCCTGGCTCAAGGGGACAAGAAATAGAGAGACTGGTCACTGGTGGGCAAATAGAGAAAGCAGTGTATGTATTTGTGGGACAAAGTGAGAAAAGAGGGGAAAAGCGGGAAAGAAGGAATACGAGTGTGAGTGCCTTCTTGCCTTTTGCCCCAGGGTTAGGAGACCTGTGACTCTGTGTCTTCTAAATCAAAGACAAGGCACAGCCATAACCTTCTTAAGAGAATGAGGATCCTTTCACTACCTTGCAATCGCTCTATCTTCTCAGTGCTCAATGCTTAAAAGTGTAAATATTCCCTAAGTAACTCACAAAACTACAGATGTAACATGAAAAGGATGTATTGAGCAGGTGGACTTTCCAAAGCACTGAGAAAACAGAAAAGACCATCACATAAAGACAGCAAGACAATTGGTACACACAGCTAATGGGCATATGGTCCCTGATCCTGTGATTTGACCTTTTACCCTTGTGTAATATGATATCTGTTTAGATTTGCTTGGGAGGCTAACAGAAAGATTGATAGCCACTTTTTTATTGGCGCATCGATCATGTTCACTTGTTTCACCTGCCAAAACACAGTGATGATGCTTCTGCCTATTAAAATACTAATCGTGCTGGTTATGCTGCTAAAGTGTGGTCGTCTTAGTTCTGTGAATTTTTCTAGTGCATTTAGGTGATCTAGACTTCATCTTTGTCTATCAGTCTATCAGTAAAACAAATAAATTGCTGAATGTTTTGTAAACTAGGAAGTGACTGGAGAGCCTCGTAGTGCAGAAACAATCACGTTAGCCACTTTACTCCTTAAACGCGCCCATCGCTGCTGTCTACTTTCTGGAACAGTGATTCGCAGAGAGCGGAGGAGGGAGCTGAGATCGCCTTACTTATTCCAGTAAACAACACAGCCATCTAAAAGACAACATGTAGATATTATTCCCTCGGGTAATTCAACGCTCACTAGTGCATAGCCAACAGCACAAATGTGAGAAACATAGTAACTTTGCTCTGGCTAAAAGATAAAAAAAAAATAAAAATGAAAACAACAGATTTTAAGAAACAGGTTGCTCATGTTCTTTGCTCATTTAAAAAATATATATGCATGTGATCTGAACAGACAAATCACAGCAAAAAGTGGCACTTGGCTGTGAATTTTTATTCACTGAAAGCTCAGGCAGCTGTGATGCATACTGCAGCTTTTGTTGGAAAGATAAACGACACTTGAAATGCAAAACAAATAGATGCCCAAAGCAATCAGCTGTAGAGAATTCAGTAGAAGTACCCACTAGTTATTAGCTTAATGTGCTAACAGAGTCCTCAGTGTGCTCCTTTCCCATTTTAACTGGTGTGTACAAGAGGCCTGATTCTCAGGTAAATCAGTCTCAAGTGGGTCCGAGTTGGATGGTTTACTCAGGGTGTTGAGTCTCTTAGGAACTGAAGGATAGGATGTCAGCTGCTGCTTCCTGCTTAAGCCAGTAACAGGAACTGGCTGTGTTCCAGTGTGTGTGTGTGTGTGTGTGTGCTGTCAGACAGAGGACTGGGCAACAAGCCCAGGTGCAGCAGAGCCCAGGTGTTCCTCTACGAACAACACAATGAGTGCGTGCAAACATGGAGGGACCGACAAGCAAATGGAGAGGGATTGGTATCAGAGAGCACACCTGTTGAGCACCTGTCCTATCCGCTTATGACACACTGATTATAGATGGAGCAGTTGTAAACACATGCGCGTCAAAAGCCAAAACTTGTACACACACATATCAGTCAGTAAGAATCAACCACGGCGCTCTGTGCACAGCCTCACTCAGACATCAAACTACTTTTGAGTCTTTGCAACTTTTCACTTTCTCCCTGCCCTCCCTGCCTTTCTCTGATCTCCCGCTGAGTTCTTCAGTCTCTGTGTCATTAGGCAGCGAATCAGGGATTAAGAGGACGATGGGAGGATGTGATTTGCAGCAGAATCCACTAAGTCTGGCATTACCACACACCTCACAAAGCGCGGGGGAGGTTCTAATCCACCGCACAGCACAATCCTGCTAATGCATTCATATCAGACACGCAGACAATTGAGGTCGACTGAGAATTAAACACCAAAAGTATTACTGTCAAGTTCAGCATGGGCATGTTTGTTTTTACATTAAAGTCTGAACTGAGGAAGACACCTACATTTTAGCTGGGTGTTAGCGATGTAGGATGATGATTTATAGGACAAATACTTGCATGAAGAACAATGTATATCTCTGAATAACAAACTTACATATAATATGTATTGCATCATACCATTTCTCAAGGACTAATGCAGAAAAGCTACTAAATGAGTCAAAAATGAAAAGATTCACTGCATACACTTTTATATATTCTGTCACAGTGACCTTGGATGCACACAGTAAAGTTTCTGTCATTGCATGACCTACAAATATTTGTCTTTTTAGCAGAAGTGCAGAAGCAGAGGGACATGTGAAGTATTAAAGCAAAACAATGACAGGGGGAGGGAAGGGGGAAAAGTGGGAAGAAAGAAAGAAGGGAAAGATTAGCAGTAGTACTTTGTGACATGCATCATCAGTCCTGTCTTCTCACTACATCTCCCTAATGGGAGCGCAGCAGTGTGTGTGTGTGTTTGCACGCAAACGCATGTGTGAGAGAGAGAGTGATGAGCCTCTCTGTCAGAGTGACTTGTAGAGACCGTGTGTCTGTGTGTGAAAGAGATAGGGACTAAATGAGCTTCTGGTGGGACTGACCCTTCTCACTTCTCACTGGTCCGTCAGAGAAACTGAGCGCTCCACTGGAGCATGGCCACAGGCAGGGTGCTGAATACTGAAAATGTTACACACACATACACAAACTCTGGGGAAAGGCAGCTGCAGAAGCTCTCTGTATGACCATATTCACATACACACAAAACGCATTAAAACAGAGGTATTTTAGAGACTAAACAGAAAATACAGGGAGGTCAAGGTGCATTTATGTTCACACGACGTCAGAAAATGTGACAAAATGCACGTGTTTGTTTATGTCAAAAGCAAATACCGTGCACGCCAAATCTAGCGTGCTGCGAATGCGGGGTGTCTGGTTCACCAGTAGTCATAATTATGATTCATGTCTCAGTAAACAGCCATGCATGTATGATAAGGTTTGTATTGCCTCAAGTGTGGGAAAGCACAGCAAATTACATGTGCAAGTACGCATGTGTGTGTTGGTGCAAATGTGAGTTTCAGGCTAAGTATAATTACTCTTGGTGACATACCGTACATGACTAATGAGCAGAGTTTGGGCACGAAGCGTCGAGCTCATTTGTCACAGGATGGTAGGTAAAAATTTCAGTGCTTTCAACTCCCGTGGAAAGCTGGAAAGGTCATGTTAAATGCTCATAAAGCCCTAATGCCTGATTAATTTCCTGTGCAAGCACAACTCAGTGAACACCCTCGATTAGGAGTGACACGTCACATGACACGGATGTCACAGTCATGTCCTTTTGCCGCTGTTCTCTCACCATTATACTGTAGCATCTCTGACTGCCTCCGCGGTTCAATCCAGTGGCATGCAAATAGCCTTGACATGACCAGAAGAGCACTCCACACATAGTCAATACAATTTAATAACCCATTACGGAGAGAACACTGTTGTTTATAGCTGGGAATTAAACCAATCTAAAAAGAAATAATGGCAGCTTTCACTCCATAAAAGTAAATCGACGCTAGGATTTTTTTATTCATTAACTTTTAAGACTCAAAGTAATGACTACACATACATTTAACAGCTGAATATAAACCTCTGGAGATAAGAAATATAAAACATCACTGGTTCTAATGCATATGATTCATCTAAAGTACACACTGTCTGATCAGCTGTTATTTTGTGTTTAAATGGAAACATTTCTCTTATTTAAATTAATAAATGCAATTACAATCACCTTCTTACAGCAATAAAAGCCTCTGGGGTGGTCTGTACTTAACCTTATATGCCACCGCTTTTTGTTGTGTAGGTAGGAGGTGACATTGATGGTAGGTAGAAATGTGAAATTTTATTTATCAAATAGTCTGTAATCGTAAATGTACAAATGCATACAATAAGATAACAAAGGATAGTGATCATTCATGCTATGGTAATATCTCTTGTATTTCCACATGATATCATTTGTTTTTTAAAGATTGTGGTTAATATATCACGGATATCGTCGATAAACATATATTACACCCTAAAATGACATGCGAAAAACTCCAACAAAAGCAGAAAGATAATTCATGTCACAAAGAATCACACGATTGATTCATTTAAAAAAAAAAAAAAAAAAAAAAGCACACTTTAAGATGTTTATTTAACAGATGTACTCGACAACAGAACAAACCACCGTACTGTTATGAAAAAAAGATCTTTCCAAACACAGGTCTGAATACACGGGTTGGGCAGCGTGATCCTTTCTATTGTGCTGATGTCAAGGCTCTTGTAGTTGGTAATGGTGACCTTTCAGATAACAGGTGTCATGTATGAAGGTCTATTAGACCCGGCTATCTATTGTTACACATGTGGGAGGCTCATGGTGTTGGGGGAGGGAGCTCGGACGTATCAAGGCGAGATAAAAGCCTCCGAGTGAGGGCGCGGGTGCATGCTCATCATAATGGTTTCTTTGACATGTGGTCTTTTACTAGAGGTCAGAAGGTCATGGGAGAAAAGGGGAGAAAAGGCAAAAACTGAAAGCTCAAAATCTATCTCACATTTCAGGAATCATATCAGCAGCAGACATGACTCGTCCCTCCCCAGAGGGTTTCTGAAATACAAACATGCTGGAATAAACTTAAAGCACTGATATGTATTTGGTATTGGTCTTGTATGCACTATGCAAAACTTCATTTTCTATAAAAACCTTATAGATGACAGTATTGCCCTTTCTGCGCAAAAAAAATCAGAAAAATACAATTTTAAACCAAAAGAATTCCATTAAATTTATATGAAGATAATAAAAAGCTACTGACTCTGTGCTTCTGCTAACAAATGATCTCTCAAACAGTGGAAGCACTTGAACTGAAATGATTGCAGCGTGCAGGCCTCAGGCACAAAGAGTGAAGCAGTAGAAAAAAGAAGCATTGACAGTCCTTCATATCCCTTTCTATACAGACATATCACATTTTACAGAATACAATGCACACAAGATGGAATGAAAATAGTGTTGTTGTTTTTTATAAGGAAAAAAGACGCAGCCTTGTGTCACGTCAGCCATCAATTATCTCCACAATTTACATTCAATCTGATGAACCCAATCATATTTGTGTGCTTACCCTGAGGATGTCTGCCTCCACAACGTAAGTCGGGCAACGTGTTATTCTGTATTCTGCACACATGTTCAATCAGGACAAGGGCTTTGTGGATTCTAATCTCACACTTTGTGATCTCCAGATATCCAGGAGGAGAGGTTTGTGCACTGGAATGTGAGGCGAGTGTTTGTCTCGATGTGACGAGAGCTTCGGCGGGAGATTTACATTTTTCTATTAGCGGTGAAAACAGTGGGACGTGACTCTGCTGAATATGACTAATGAAGCTTAGTCTCCACTGTGGCTCGGATCAGTTGTGTAAAAGGATGCTAACTTTCTTTACAGAAGGTAGATGTCAAGCAGGAGGTCACCGTCGTTTAAATGCTTTACTCTAGTTGGCTTAAATTCACATTTAAAAAAAAGAAAAGAAGGTTTTACATTGGAGAGTCATTAGATTGAAAAAATTCATTGCAGAAAGAAATATCAAAATATTTCTGTTTGATCAATTCCAAAACCTTTGTCTTAAAAAAACCCTGAAACTTGACTGTGTGATATGCAGTAATGTGTCTTTTCATAGTGTGTTCACAGTCTGCACGTCACCAACGAAATGTGGGGAAAAAACCCGAACAAAAGCCCCAAAAAACTACGAAACTAAACGGTAGTTTGCGTTAACCAATTCGCCCATGTGCATAAAACAGAGAAGCCAAGTATTTGGTCCACTGTCCACCTCCTATTAATCCACGTCCACGTCCAGGTTAATCTCGGTGCTCAGGTTAAGGTAGAAGAAGGCGTACACGCAGAGCACGAAGAACAGGATTGCCGCGATGACCAGGAACGCATCCTGAGGAGAAAGCAAAGGTTTTAAAATATATTCAAAATGTTCTTGTGAGCATTTTTTTTTTTCTGCCCAAATCCCGAGTCTGTCTTTACACTCATGAATGTCTGCTTTGTTTGAATGTCATTGCAGTGTTTCATAATTGTTGTGCTTATTTATTTGTGTTACGTCTGTATTTGCCAAGTCTCTAATGCCTTTCTTTTCATCTGAATTCACCGCATGTGAATAAAGATTTGTTGTTTTCTTTGCTTGTTTTGAAAACCACAAATATTTAAACTCTCGCTCACAGTTCTACTGATGTGCATAAAAGGGCAAATCTAACTACAGCAATTACATTTTAGTTTCAGATATTAAACTGGGAGGGAAAAAAATTACTACAGAGGAGCAAACAAAGCTATTATCATCATCTGTGGATGTCATAATAATATATGAATTTGTATCTGTTTTCATATTTAAACCAGAAACGTAAACTGGAAGCAGTTGAAAATCCTCCACAGCTTCACATTGACAGTGTCAAACAGCTTCTTCTTTTATTTTTTTATTTGAATTTTGTGTTGTTATATACACGACGCGTACACGCTAGCCCTGCAGAAAATATGCTAACAAAATATTTCTATAAAAACATTTGAAATCGTAAAAGAACTGTACCAATAGAAATCACTTCTCATAATTAGGTAATACCACTAATGTGAAACACTACTTACTTTATAAAAAAATAAAAAATAAAAAAATCCAATCCACTATGTATTTTTATTACAATGTACATTTTACTCCAGTATTTAAGCAATCGAGCTAGAAAAACTTAAGAATACATAATAACTCGTAAAATAATAAGTAACTATTTTATATATGATCACAACTTAAAACAAAATTTGGTTTAGGGGACTGATGATTAGGGCTGGACAATATGGAAAAAAACCACATTTTTTTAGGACAAACTCTGGCTGCCGTTCATCTGTAGTGAGCGCAGACTGTCAGGCCACCGTTTACCTCAACTAATCAAACTATTAGCTTGTAATCAGTTGTTGTCGTCGTTGACAGCTCGTCAGCTGTCCTGTGACGGGAGGGTCTCATGTCTAATCTGCTGACAGTAACTGTCACTGTCAATATCAGGACTAAATACGCATGTTTATTCACTTTTGCATGGGTTAAAGACCTGACTTCAATTCAGGAGAGGAGTTAGAAATGAGGGAGGAGAGAAAGGACTGATGGAGGAAGAGAAAGAGATAATGAGAAAGAGTTGAATGGTCATATACAGTTAAAAAAAAAAAAAAAAAAAGCTTATATGTGATTTTAAAGTACCATATAAAGTGTACTATGCTTGTGGCCAGTTTCTAGCCACATACATAAAACACGATTAGGCAGAACTGCGGTGTCCATCCATCTCAGCCACTGTATTCAAGATAACTGGGCAACACGGTGCCACTCACTCCTATGAATTTTCAATGGATTAACTGTAAGTTTATGAGACTGCATCAATTGATAAAAGACCCAATAACATACCAATGGGATATATACTCATAAGTACAACATTTTTTTTCTGTTAAACAAACTCAAACTAAATTACTTATCGCCCTACTGGGGCGACCGTGGTTCAAGAGTTGGCAGTTCGTTTTGTAATCAGAAGGTTGCCGGTTCAACAAAAAAAAACCCCAAAAAAAAAAAAACATAGCAGCATCACATTTCAGAAGCCGGGTACCAAGTGGCTGCAGCATTTAAAAAAATAAAATAAAAATCTATTTGCAGTCAGGCTCCACTTTCACTTTTTTCGTCTCTCCATTTTTACTGAAAAGTTAAACTTTCTTCTACAAAATGGCCTATTTTTTTTATTTTTTATTTTTTTTAGATTTTCTATTGGTTAATTGTCAAACAAATTGAGGCTTTCCAAAGGAGTGGTATTCAACTTGAAAATGGGAATTAGGAGCGCTTGTTCATTATGTGGTGCTCACACGATTACAATCTTCATCAGCTGGAGTTTCATTAGGGGCACTCAGAGTATTGAACAATGCCAGTTATTCTTTATCAAGAGAACTCATTAGCAGCAAACTTTCTAATCAACACTGGAGAGCTTGGAGAGCTTTAAAAGAGCACAGAGTACAGTCTGATTGGAGGTTATTCAAAAAGAAATATTTGAGTGTGGAAATGAGTTTTAAATTGCAAACTGGGCCAAAACAACAAAAGGTGACGTGGCAAGTGCTACAAAAAAAATCTCAAATCTTTGCAAATGTTAATAAATTCAGTTTTCCATTTATAGATTTATAAAAAGACTTCAGGGAAAAACTAAATTTAACAAAATCCACCTGTTCATGAAAGAGGCTGATGCAAGGTTAAAGACGGGCATAAAGCACTAAAAAAGAAAATAAGATAAGCTTAGTCATCCTAAAAGACACTTTTAAAAAATTGAAACAACAAAACTATATGACAATCTGATAAAACATCAGTTCAACGATTCCCTTATACTGCACATACACACATGGCAGACTAGAAAAACAATCAGTCAATGAGCCAAACTGCAGAGAGAAAATGATAGAAAAATAAATAAATAATAAAAAAAGGGAGTGAGAATGAAATAGAAAACAAGTGAGAGATAAAGCTCGGCACAAATGAGGGGTGGTGGGGGGCTAATAATAATTCCTCTCTGACGAAGGCGATGGGGGTGACAATTAAAAGGAGTCACAGCATCCACAGCTATCTGTGTACATGTTGTAGTGCCTAGTCATCAGCAGCATTGGTCTTCATTAGCCTCAGCCCACATTTATCTGAATCCCAGCAGCCTCCAAACAGCTTAAAGTCCTAGCTTAATTGGAAAACTTTTAAATTTCATGCACTTTAGTTTCATATATTAACCGCCAGGCTTCCACCGCTTGATTTACTTTTCTATTTTGCTTAGGCCTCGGAGAAAAGAGAACTGTTATCAAATCACCGAGGCTTGATTGTTTTCTGCTTTTTCGTGTGTTCTGTGGCAGCTTTGAAAAAAAAGAAAAAGAAGCACAACAAAGAGAAGCATTTGTAATTCTGTCGAGAATATCACAAAGAAAACATTGTGTTTCTGACATAGGTAAGCATTTTATTGAATTGCTGGAGACACACAAAAAAAATTACAATTCAGGTTTCTCCCCCTTCTTTGCATCAGGTTTCAGAGATAAAGAGAACAGCTGGTTACAGTGACTTGTCTATAAAAACAAGCTGGAGGGGTTTCAGTGAAAACACTCGAGTTGGAGAAAGCACCTGCATTTGATTGAGATCACTGTTTTCGAGAAGAGTAGCCCACTGCGTTGACTCTTGCCTTGTCTCACAAATACATTTATATGCTCCCCTCCATACACACACACTCAGACACTAACACACAGCCTCTCTGCCCACATTTTGATGGAGACCTCTGGATGGGGCCCAAACACATCATCATCTTCATCGTGTGGTTCTCTCAGCACTGGCGGCAGCTGCAGCACACTCGGCATGCTGGGAGCCTAGTCCCCATCACCCTGGCGACAAGCCATAGCTCAGCAGACATCCCCTCATCTGGTCCGACTTTTATTCTCCTCCTGGGTTTGTTTGTGCACGCACACGTGTGTGTACGTCTGTTTGTATGTTCCCATGTGCTAAGCAGGTTAGAGTCGGTGTGTCTGGGGCTGTATGTGGGTGGCAGCTTGTGAGAGCCACACAACCGTCGGTGCATTTGGAGCACAGTTAGTAAGCAGGTCTCATCCATACCAGCTACAGCAACAAACAATCAACCATTAAAGTGTTACGTTTTCTGACCGATTACATTGAAATTTCTAGTTAATTTTTGTAGATATTTTAGTTTCCTTTGTTGAGCAATTGATTCTCCATCACCACCAGAATAGATTCTCCTGCCTTCAGACCATATTCACTCTGTTGCAAAGCTGCAAATCTATTGATAATTTTGCTGAATTTAATCACGTCATCTATTAGAGTAAAAACAAAACAAAACAAACAAAAAAAACCCAAAAAAAATGCTTACCACAGCGTCCAAGGGTCCAGAGGGGTGGAAAGCTACAGAGTTAAGGTTAGTGAAGGATGCTGAGCCTAAAGCCAGTTTTAAAGGTCACAAAGGTAGCTCTCTCTTCCAGATTGCCATGGTAACTCATGGTGTTGCACACATAAGCTTCTCTGGATGTAGTTCAGAGCTGTGGTTTAAAAAAGGGCTGCAAGCGTCACACTTTCACCCATCCTTTTTCTGACAATGTGCTCTGAGTGTGATGCAGATGTTCAGCAGAGGGAATATGTTTTATTTATGTAAAATGGTGAGCCACAAGTTGCTAACATGACTGAACGAAGCCGTGCAGTGACGTTGCAGCAGACTACATCACATGCATTCAATTCAGCGATGCAGGAAAATAATGACGTTTTATACTTGGTGCTTATTTGCTTAAAAAAAAAGAAAAAGAAAAAAAAAGGCAGATATGGTAACTATGAATAAATTTCACTTTAATTTGGCCAAAGAGTAAATTGATTACAACATCTCTGCTGTTACATCCCCATGCTGAAATGGAAACAAGTTTAAAGTTTAAAAGCTCGAATGTGCCACTGTCATGTTAGAAATAAACAGCAGCACCATTAAATAGAACAAAAGGCCACAAAGCTCCCAACACAACCTTGAGCTTTTCTCTAACAGCACTGATTCGGGCATTTCACCAATTACTGCTTCAGTTACTCGAATCTGCCCCGTTAAAACAAAAGTTGGAGCTTCTTGACGTGAGTTATAGTTGTACAAACATAAGAAATGCCAAATACTGTATAGAAAAATAGGATGTAATTTCAAAAACACTAAAACAACTCAAGATATGAAGCTGGTTCAAATCCTCACCTGCGTCCTGACCCACCTGCTCCTGTCACAAAGAGGCAAAAATGTCCAAAAACCTAATACTTGTGGATCTATAGGATCTCGCTCGCCACACAGCACACATTCACAAATGACAGATGGAAGATACCCATCATTATCTGTCGTCTCCATCCTCTGCCAATTCCATAAGAAACCCCACCCCACCCACTCTACCACAACTTCCTAGGCTCAGCGGCTAAATAAGACTGAGGGAAAACAGTGCAGAACTGAACAGAAGGCTAGTGTGCCAATTAGACAAGGCAGCAGGCTCGTTTCCTCTGCTGCAAGATAATGTGCTGGAGCTACTTTGAAGGCGCTGCTTCTTCTCTAGGCAACCTGAGGAGAGGCTGCAGACTGCACTTCCTGCCAGTTTCTCCCTCTCTGCTGTCATTACCACATACCATTCACTCTTTGGAAGAGGCAAAGACTTGTGTTCTGGCAACAAGTCGTTACTTCCGTAAACACACTGTGACTCAACCTGTGTATAAGGACCTGCATGGATACAGCAGGTGGCTGGTTTTTGGGTTGTTTTTCCTTTCTTTCTTTCTTTTTTTTTTTTAAAGCAACCCAGACAACTCAGCACTATGGTGGGAACAGAAGTTCTCCTTCTCTCACTTTCTCCACCACAGTGTCTCCATCCTTTCTCTCTGCCAACTCATCCAGACTGCCCCGTTACCAGGACAGCCCCGAGACAGCCTGCCCTGGCAGCTGTCAGATTCTCTGTGCCCGCATGTCTGTTGGCCCTTCTGAGGTGCCAGCTGCATCTGAGAGCAGCATCTCAACCAGGAATATGGAGAAGAGAAGAGAAGAGAAGAGGAGAAGAGAAGAGAAGAGAAGAGAAGAGAAGAGAAGAGAAGAGAAGAGAAGCAGACAACATGCCCCAACATCCAAACCAGCCCTAAAAATTCCAGCCAAATCTTTGCTGTCAACCAAAGGTTCAGAGAGAGAGAGAGAGAGAGAGAGAGAGGGAGGCTTTCTACTGTCATCAGAGAGCTGTGTAAAAATCACTTCTTCAACTTCATATCACGCTAAAAAGACTTGATGGGAAAGCAAGCGTGACCAAATATCCATTACATTTGGGCTGAATTTCAATCGAACTCGGGGCCAAGAGGTCTAAGACAGTTTAATATCCTCGTCCCAGAGGTATTTTTAATCCAACCTCTGAAAATTCCACTCATCTTGGGCATGAAAAACATGAATTATTCATGACCAATATCAATATTTCAAGATATGGACTAATCTAATTGGATTAAAGACGTGTTTAATGAGGCCCTGCATGTCTAAGAGATGCATATTTTAAAACCTGACCATTTCACCCACTGTTTAATCCTCATTGTGATTTGTTCATCTCTGCCCACTTCGTAGCAACTGAGGCTTAATCAGGAAGTGAAACATTTTGGCTTTTAATGTCCTGTAAGCAGAACTTGTCAGTGTAACAAAGGACAATAAGTGTTCAAGGACTAATACTGAATGTTACTGTAATGACGTCTTTCAATTGAGTTTCACTAAAAAAAATAAAGTTATAAAAGTTCCTCTCATGGAATCTGTGATTTCAATCGTCTTCTTCTCTTGGCTGCTCCCTTTAGGGGGCGCCACAGCAGATCATCTGCCTCCATCTCGCCCTGATGCTAGCATCCTCTTCTGTCACACCAACCCTCTGCAGGGCCACTCATATCCCAAAATGTTCTTTTTGGTCTTCCTCTTTTCTTCTTGTTCCATCTTCAGCATCCTTTGGCCAATAGATCCATATTCCCTCCTCTCTACACGTCTCAGCCTTGCCCGTCATTGGCTCCAAATCTCTTGACCTCCTTTTACTTTAGCATTACCTGCTCTATCCATTTCATCTTCTTTCATCTGCATACTGTATTTTCCTCTTTTCACCCACCTTCCTGTTGCCCCTCCTTTGCCATTGAAAGGATAAGACCACCTTTGTGTTTTATATCTCCTCTTTTTGTTAAAGAAAAGCACTATTTTACACACAATCTATGAAGGACACTAGCATACCTTCTTTAGCAAAGCAGCAGGGATCTTAAAAGAATAGAACAGCACATAATTATGTGAAGATCTACTATGGATTATTATATTCCCTGAAGACCTAGAGTAACTTCTTTCAATAAGACAGTGTGAAGAGTCTGGAATAAATAATATAAATATAAATACAAAAAGGAGCATGGGAAAAGTTGGCTTGCAAATCTTGTACATAGATAAGCAGAACCACAATTGTACCAGGACAGACATTTAAGTGTGGATATACATATATACAAACTGTAGAATACATATAGATAAAGGCTTCAGTAGTTCTAAACAGAAACCAAGTCTCACCCTGAATCCAGAGGAATTCTTCTTCGCTTCAGCTTTCAGCCGTGTTGCTTTCAAAACCGACTTTGTCTTTTTGTAGTCTTGCTTACCTAAAACACATGAAATAGATAAAAAGAAATTAAATGAAGAACACAAATAAATGACCAAGATTGACTGATATTGAGTGACAGGTTTCATTTACTGTTGCCAAACAACCAAAGAGACCAGAAAGTTTTTGTGTAGAAGTGTAGCACTCTGGGAACATTGTGAGGAATCTGGCTTAAGGTGACTGCACTCACCATTTTGTATTTGTAGTGACCAAATGGTTTTTATATAATTCATAAATGCTGGTTGTACTCTGGTCTTTATTCTACAGAATAGGGAGGTTGCTGAATGGAAATATAACAGTTAAATGTGAATTTCTCTCTATATATTCATGTGCTCAAAAATGGGTGGTGAGAAAGTGAGAAATAAATTGTGCACTACTGAAATTTCTCAAATAAACATATACACGCCTCACGCAGTCTACAAAACACACGGTTCACCTGTGCTTACTTGACTTCCCGTAAGCTAAATTCTCAAGGGTGAGTCCTGTGGGCAAACTGGCCACCCGGCAAAAAGTGTGTGTGTGTGTGTGTGTGTGTGTGTGACAGCTGGTTGTCTTGGTCTAATTAGAAACAACACACAGCAGGAAAAGGAACTTTGCTAACAATAGGGTGGAAAGGCAACAGCTTGCTGAACAGTGTGTGTGTGTGTGTGTGTGTGTGTGTGTGTGTGTTTTCAAGTTGTGCAATTTCCTTTTTTTTTTAATTCTTTCTTCAAAACTTATGGTTAAATCTAGATTTGATTAATGGTAAGATGAGTGTGGTGCTTGAAGTTAACTATGAAGTTTTCATGATTTAACCTTGATTGTACTTCATTAGAAAAACCAGGGATGTTACATAATACAGACTGAGACCAGGTCAGCCTGGTGGTTTTTCCTCTTCCAATTAATCCTTGTTTACAATGGCGAATAGGAAGAGAGACTGGAAGATGTATTTTGGAGAGGGTTTGAGAGGGAAAAGCTGAAATAAGCTAGTGGGAAAACAGGTGTAGGTGTGTGCGTGTGTAGAGCTGATTTCCACTCAATAAGGTGTCACTCTTACGGCCCAGTCACAGAGGAAATGACCATTAGTCTTATGTTAAGCATTTCACCTGCTTTTCAATAATCTTGCTCCCCCTGCATCTTTTTTCCAAGATCTGATATTCACTTCCCATCTCTCCTCGCTCTCTTTTATCCCCCCCCCTCCATTCCTCCTGGTCCTGAACCCTTCGTTCACCTCCCACTGACTCTGTGGAGGGCTAATAGAAATGGGGAGCGTGTTGCCAGGAGCAAACAGCGAGCTAGTGGGAATTCATTACGGGGGGCACTGAATGTCTCCTCCACTTGTCAGAAAGTGGAGAGGGGAAAATTTGATTGGAGGGCACCTCAGGTTGCTCACTATTCACATAACCGTTGCAAAGATTTTCACACTGTAAATGGCGTGATGTGAGCAAAGACGGGGTTTAAATTTCAATGCTAGATGTATATATTGGTTGAAGACATAACCATCTGGTAACAATTAGTACTTAACTGAGGCCAAATCAGAATACTTACACCAAGCAAGGTAATGTGTAGAGTAGTGTTTATGCTAGAGAATTACCTCAGCGTGTGTATATGGTATTCTAATGCTGCTGTGTTACACTGGTGTACCTCCTGTAGCTACACAGCAGCTTTCTCTTGTGGTTTATTTGCGTGGGTTTGGAGCCTGCACAATCTACACGCGCGTGCCTGATGATATTACACTAGGCTTATGAGTACTCCTATTTGTCATCACCGTTTCCACTGCTTCACCAGCGCCGGAGACATTTTCGGTCACCAATTATCTACCTGCATTGAGCTACAAGCAATCCTCCCATCCCTCCCTGCCTCAGCCTGCCACCCTGAAAAGCCATCCCTGTTCTCCTGTACAGCAACAACAATGACACGTCTCAGAGGAACATTAACCCCTGTAAAACGGCCTAGGGCACCTGCTGGGATGGCTTCCCTGATCGTGCCTTTCACTGAAGTCATCGCCGAAGAGACAGAGAGGAAAAGTGAAAGTGGCCTTCTCCCCCCCACCGCTTAAAGCAAAGTTCAGATTCTTCTTGCTTGTTTGTCATCAGGTTACCTATAAATGGAGTCTGATGAAGACGGCTGTGAAATTAGTTTTTATCTTGAGCCATTATTCTGTTTAGCATAATGAGACAGGTAGGGGGTATTAGCTAAAATTAGTCACATGTGATTGTGCACTCAAGGGAAAGAGAGGGGAGGTATGTGATTTGTGTCATACAAATTGGCCATTAAAAAGATAGAAGAGTGGTGAGTGATGATAAGAAACTTTACCATTTATTTTAAGTTTCTAATGCATACAATGGAATCCAACAGCCTGAGCCTCCTAAATGCTTCTATTTTAGAAAACAAATACAGATCCAATTCGAACATCCTGTATTACAGCTGGCAAAATGAGCTTAACAATTTTGGTGAAATTTTTAGTTGTGATAAAAAAAATTAATTTCATGAATATCTTATTCAGTAATCGCCGTTTGCATTAATGACAGCGCTCAAGCTGGACTCCACAAGTCTGCATAAAGATGAGACATGTTATCAAAAATGGAGACAATGCCCCAAATAGTTTACTGTGATATTCAGCACTCCTTGGTCTTCGAGCATCATCTCAAGGATGTAGCTCAAAGGATGTTACGTGCCTCTGAACAGTGGGTTGCTACTTGTTTTGGTGCAGGTGTTTAGTTCAAGCTATCTGCCATTACACTGTGTTGACACGCTGCACTGACATTCTCTAGGCTGATTATCGTCTCACACCTTTCTGTTACTGCTGTGAATCTTAAAGTCTAAGTCATCGTTAAATTCTTCAGTTGTCCACACAAACATTTTGATGTCTTAAGCCATGCCAAGTGTTTGCTCTTGTTTCCTCCTTTCTGTGAAGCGGTTTGGAGACACTACCCATCCTCTGATGAGATCGTCTTCCTGCTACAGACTGAAATAACATGTTCTTTATTTAGAAAATGCAGCTGTTTCTAACAAAGCTCGATGCCCTGAACCTCGTGATCATATGGTTTTTCTTTCAGTCTCCCTGGTAATGTTCGGAATTGGGCTGACTGAGTTTTCGCAAAGCATTTGAGAGCCATTTGAAACCTTCACTCCAGTCATGATGTGATGCTAATAATACCCCTCTTTGCTTAGAATAGCAATTTGATTGCTGACACTTTCTCTTTGCAAGGAGATCATTTTTCCCCACTATCACAATGAAGGTAGTAACCAAATCGAAACTGCACAGCCACATTTGTAACAGGTGTGCAACGGCAGGATGTTCATTTACGTCAAGCCTCTAGTGAGTAGATTCAATTCATCTCCTTTTATATGCAACAAACCCTTAGACAATCATGTCTACTTTAAGATTTCTGGTTGCAAGTTCAAGAGCGAATTGTTCACAACTGGTGAGACCACCTTAAGCCTTTCATATAATTAACTAAGTACATACAGTACTTGAATAAATGGAATAAATGGAGTATATGGGTGTTGGGGGGGGGGGGGGGAGACATTCTAAGCCTATGTAAGCAAACCTTGAGCCACTATTGGAGCACACTGCAATAGGTGGTCCCCAACTATCTACGTGACCTTTATAAAAAAGTCTCTTGCTCTGTTCAACTTCCCCTTTCCTCCTCCTTTGTTATTTAAAAATGGAAGAGAATGAGAAACATGGGGATCATTTTGTGAATAAATTATTTCCTACTTTGGAGCAACTGAGAAATGAAAGCCTATCATGAACTAGTATAGTTCAGCTGCTTTTATTCGAGTCATGCATCCTCCTATATATAAAAACAAAAAACAAAATAAATATTATTCTCAGTCATATCTAAATTTATTCCAGTGTCAGAAAGTATTAAAAATCAAGTACTATACCATTGCAACGAGCTCCATTATGAACCCAGTATACCCCACAGTTCATCTAATGCCATGTCTTCATTTAACCTCCTAAGACCCAAACTCTTCCACGACATGGATGTTTAATTTCTTTTTGATATTTGGCCATATTGGGGCCCGATGAATGTAAAAACAAAGAATTACCAGATTTTTTTTTTTTACCTAATTTTTTTTAAGAAAAATAAGAGCCACAAATGAGGATATTCATTTAAAATTTTGATAGAACAGTAGCAGTATAAAGTCCTCGTAAGTGGATATCAGGCCCATGTAGAGCAAAAGTGAGTATTTTGGTCTAAATAACCCAAAATGTGATGTCCACATATGTGGACGGCAGGTCCTAGGAGGATAAACCATGAGCAAGAAGCACATTAGCAAAGCGGCAGCAGCTCCAAACTTCTGCCTGTGTCAGACTAAACACAGCAAAAAAGCCAACGCAAAGGAAAAAATAGACTTAAAGTATAAGAACATGGTTCACATATGGACTTACAGTACCACTGTACTCATTTAGTAGACAGGCATGAGGATGACTACTGAAAAACTTGCAGCAATATTCAGTTTAATTGCAAGCACGACTAGGTACACCTGTTCACCTGCTTGTTAACACGAATTACTCATCAGTCAGTAGCATGGCAACAAGTTTAGACATGTAGACATGGTCAAAACAACCTGCTGAAGTTCAAACTGAGCATCAGAATGGGGAAGAAAGCTGATGTAAGTGACTTTGGCATGGTCATTAGTGCCAGATGGGCGGGTCAGAGTGTTTCAGAAACTGCTGATCTACTGGGGTTTTCCTAGTCAACCATCCCTAAGGATTACAAAGAATGGTCCAAAAAAGAGAAAATATGCACTAAGCAGCAGCTCTCTGGGTAAAAATGCCCTGTAGATGCCAGAGGTGAGAGGAGAATGGAAAGAGTGCTTTAAGCTGATAGGAGGGCAATATTAATTTAAATTACCACTCACTAAAACAATGATTTGCAGAAGAGAATCCCTGACCGGACAACATGCCAAACCTTGAAGCAGATGGGCTATAGCAGCAGACTGCAATAGTCACTCTTGTCAGCTGAGAACAGGAAACTGAGCACAGTGGTACAGTGGTTAATGTTGCTG